TTAAATTTCTGTTATGTGACCAAGATAACTTGTGAGTGGAGTGTTTAATCAGTGACATGAGACGCCATTTTATCTTTGACCCATCAGAATAAATGTGGTCATTTATTTTACAGAATCAAAATTTAACATCAAAACATGTACACATTGATTTGCTGATCTGTTTCTGATTAATAAACTTGGCACGCTTTACTAAACAAGACAACAGAACATTACTGATTGAGACTGATTCATCTCTGAAGGCATCTAGCTTGATTTACTGGCAAATAGAGAAGTTTAAAGAGGAGGAATAGATTTAAGGAGGAAGTTTTAGATGGATGAAAGTTATGTGTTGAACCAGAACATGGCACCCTTCCTCCGACATCCAGGTCAGCCCTCCGGTACACTTCAGGACATGCAGCGACTTTCTTACCTTGGCAGAGGATGCATCCACTCCGGAACAGAAGTCCATTGGTACGCTCCCTTTTCAGCGTCTCTGGTTAGAGTAGCTGGGGTCATCAGAAATCGTGACGAAGTACTTGGTTCAACCGAATAAGCTTCCTTAGAAGTTGAGCTTTTAATGCTCGGGTTGAGTCACAGCCGAGGCAGGCTGTGACTACGCTGGAATGGAGAGACCCTTGGCACATGGTCAAATCCATCCACTACTTAGTTGAGTCTCATCTTCGACTGAAAGTTCCAGCAAGACTGGAAAAGACTGCGAAGACTCCAAAATATGACGAAGACTAAACCTTGTGAAGACCAAGACTAAGACTCGTTCCAAGAAGTGTTGCCTTTTAAAGGGTATCCACTTCCTGTTATGTGGTACTTCCTGATTGGTTGAAACAACCATCAGGGGTGTAGTTCTAGTGATGTCAGAGGGTCACTAGAAGTCAGGAAACAGCAGGAATGTTTTAAGAACGGTTCGTACAGACGGAGAAATGTTTTTAAGAAATGAGAGGATGCAGATGCCAGCAGTTCTCATTTACTGTCTGCGAGTTTTAAAAACAAGACACTTCGTTCTAATAACTTGTCTCTGACTTTCGACCGACATCCACTACTCCTCATTCAGACAGAAGACTAAATGCACACTTACTTCGTAAATAGACATTTAACTGTATGATCAAAGTCTAATGAGGTTTAAAAATCATTAATACTGTTTCACAGTTGATTTAAATGAGTGGTTCACTTCAACATTTAGAAATGGTATGAACTAAACACACTTTTGATTATCAAGATATTGTAAAATAGTAATGATAATGTAAAAGAAGAGTGTTCTTTCAATTGATTAATTCAGGATACAATTAAATAGTCTCTTGATGAGATAATTTGTATTTCTGGATTCAAATCAATGAAATAGCAGTTCCTGTCCCATGAAGGTCCTCAGAGACAGATTGATGTCGGAGGTCTAGTTCACTACATCAGCAATAAAAAAAATACTAGAATAAGCTCTTTGAACCAGGAGGCATCGGACCATGTGTTAGTTATGAGATGAATGTCTCTGATCTTGACTCAGTCACTTTTTGACTTCACTGTTGAACAGAAGTATAATTTAATTTTGTCACTAAAGTAAGAGAAAAACAAATACAAAAAACCCATCTGAATAGAAAGGCCGGTTTGTGAAGCTATCTTAAGAGCGAGTGGGAGGGAAATATGTTTTTGACTTCCGAAGAGAACTTGTGTTTTTAATGAGAAGGCAAATGATCAACATGTGATGATAATAAAGCATTCTGTTTCAGATGGCAAGATGTCAGCCTGACTTTCCTTCTCTGTACCTTCAGTCAGTGAGTTTAACCTCAGCCAGTAGCCTCAGTCATGCTGCTGTGTCCCTCTAACGTGGTTTTCATGCACCGCTAAAACTAAAAAACCACCACCGGCCCATATTCACATGTCCCATTAAAATGTAGGAGGTCCCTTTTATGCCCTTGTTGGCTTCTTATGCTCTGTGGAAAAATGAAATTCACATAAAAACTGAGGGTGTGGGCCAGCCGTTGTCAGACTGTTTGAAGTTGTAAGAAGTGCAGCAGTGATGGCACAGTGCTGCATTTTGTCATCAAAGAAGAGAAGCATCAGACTTTCAAAAGACAAACTGCTTTAACCAGTTCAGACCTGATGCAGCACGTACGCTGTTACTTTCCAATGATAAGGTGATGAGAGCATCACATCATGGTGCTTAAAGGGCGTATAACATGATTCGTAGTTATTTTTTCTTATCTTATTGTGTGAGGGTTGTAGCTCAGAACAGTAATATTCATATTCATTGTCTGAAATGGAGAAATACTGTATATTAAATAAATAGATAAACCAAAACAAGACAGCCAAGGATGTAGGCAAATGTTGCAGAAGGTGACTTCACGCCGTGAACCCCCTGGCATAGACACAACACTGGCAGAACACAGTGGTCATCAGAACGGAAACAAGCGATGTTCTCATATGATGAAGCACAAGCTGACTATTTCCCCAAAGAGCTGTTTTACTCATACATTTCAGTTTTTGTTGTTAGTAAGCCAAAAGGTGTGAACACTTTGACAGAAAAGGGGCTCTGAATTGAGAGCACAGGAGCGCCACCTACAGAGAGTCTCCAGATGATAGTTGGAGCCATGTGCCACAGAACCACAGAGCTCCATGCAGCCAGAACAAACAGTCAAGGAACAAAATCCCTCTTTTTGTTTCAACACTGTCCCCAGGGTGGCTATTCCCAGAAGTCACAGCGCCACAAAAAAAACTACACCCTTGATTTCCTCTGCATGGCTGCAAGGGTTTTCATTTTTCAATCCTCTTGCCTGTGTGTTTGGCAGATGTCCACTCTGCCATCCTTGAGCTGAAGCAGCAGCTCATCCTGGTGTTTTTTTTTTTTTTTTTTGCCAATTTCCATCCAACTATTGCTAAACATCTTTTTTTCCTTCTGTAGTGGTTATCACAAGCAGGACATTCACAAACATGTGACTGAACAGCTCGAACACTGGCTTGTTGTCTTAAGCATGTGGTCTAGTAGGCCCCGGAGTCATTCTGATGATCTTCTGTGTCTGTGATGTGTGATGTTCTGTGTTTCTCTTCACTGGGTCTCAAAAGGGCTTGATGACCATAAATTTGAACTTGTTTTTTCGAATTTGAAGACTTCTCTTTGAGCATTTGAGTCTCTTCATTAGATTTCTTGTTTATGATCTTGTTGAAATCATGTTCTCCCTCAGCCACATCCTCAGTTTTGCTTAGCTCTCTCTCATCACTATCACTCGTAACCCAAGATACGATCATAAGCTCCATGGACAGTGAATCTCTTGATCATGCTGACTGATGCAACTGATAACATCTCACTCAAACCATATAGCCAAAAGATGCCCAAATTCATTTTTATCCAAATGTATCATTATTTTGCTAGAAAGTTATGGTTTACGCTGGGGATAGGTGGAGCAGTGTGCATGTGCCCATGTAAATATTCTGCCAGAAAGCTTGTGTTCCTCTAGGGGAGGAGTGGGGTTGTGTATGCAGTGAAAACTGAACTTTATTTGATCCACAGAGCAACCCACAGCTTTCAGGTAATACATGCTAAAACCATTATTTTCTGCTGGGTCACATTTCATCTGTAACACCACAGATGTCACTTTATTTATTTATTTTTTTTCAGAATTTATTAAAAAGGGTTAAAAACTACATATGACGGGTTAAAATAGCTGCTTTGAGGATATTGTGAATCATGGTTCCAAAATATAATAAAAAAAATAAAGATTATTTTTTACACAACTATACCTTAACATAATACAAGGGTTACATTTACTTAACTGCATTCAAAATCCCAGCTGTAATTTATTTGCAATTAGTAATATCTGTATGTTAACTGACACCAAAACATGATGTTACATGCTTAAATTGTATTTCTTTAATGGTTTCTTCTTAATACTTTTAGTTTTTCAGACTGTGTTAACCTTTTCAAAAAAAAAAAAGTTTTTAAAATATTTTGGAGTTAAAGGACACCTACAGTATACAAAAGAAACACTAAACAACATTTTCTGCATTGTAGTTTTGCTTTACTCTGAACCTTTTGTTTTACTATGTATGATGCATACATATGTAGACTCACAGATGCAACATTCCCATTTCCCTTGGGACTAAGTAAGGGGAGATGCCCGGTAAATATAAATGCAGCATTCTCTATAAGTCTGACTTTGGTCATAGCAAGAAAAAACCCACTTTCCTTGGTGTTCTACACTCCCTCTCTACTCCATCTCCAATGCTCCTCCAGGGGTTTGAAACATGCATTGGTCTTGAGAGGAAACCTTCTGGGCCTGCTGTAATACAGATATGCTCAGTAAGGCTGTGGGAGCAGAAGGGGCAGCCTCGGTTGTTTGTGGGAGAAAAGATTTGAGTGAGGCGGGGGAATTCTCACAAAGTTTCCCACATCCGGCTCCAAGCTCTGCTTCACTTCAGCCTGCGTTATCCTGTCTTGATATTATATAAATGTGCCTTACGGTTTTCCTCTGGTGATCAGTCTTTTAAGTGCTAATTACCATAACTGGCATCTAACTTAGCTAATTTAATTAAAAGTGAAAGTTCAGAGGAGAAGTTTATGTGTGAGGGAAAAGTAGAAAAAAGAGAAATAAGCGATACAAAGTACTGCTGAACCCTCTTCTACCCTGCAATGTGAAGTGCAAGGCACAAATAAAAGAAGTGGGAATGACAATTTTATTGTGCAAGTGTTTCTTTGCTTTTAAATCACATTTCTGTCTAGAGACGTTGCAGAGACTGAGTTACTTGTAAACTGTGCAAGAATATCCATTATTGATGCTGTGTCTGTGGCAGAGGTCCTTTGGGGCAAAGCATATCCACTCCCAAGAACAAGAGGGAGCTTTTGCTTCTTCCCAGCCCTGCTGTCCGAAAGCTTTGTTACACTCATGTATTCCTCACTAGAAGACTTGATCTTATTGCATACACTGTTTGCACTGTATCAGTGCTTCAGCTTTTGTTTGCACACTATTCAGAGCATGAAGCAAAGATTTGACATCTAAGCTGATTTTATTATGTTTTTACAGGAAGTGCTCCAGACAAGTCTGAGCAGCAGGAAGAGTCAACAAAAACACAACGCCATGAGACCACTGTACCACTGTTACTAAAGGGAATAGAGCGCAGACCTCTCAGCCAGCTCAGACCTGGGGTAAATATGACAGAATTTCAAAAGGCCTGGCTTATTGTGTAACATAACCACAGTATATTTTAACCTCCTACCACACTTGGTGTTCCATTTTTTGTTTGTTTTGGTCTGTTCTGCTCTCTTTCATATTGATTTGTTGCTTACATATGAGCTTTACCCAGTAAGTGATACTTCATCTGAAATTATTGCTCAATCAAAGCCTTTCTATTGTTTTAACAAGCCAGTGGTGCACAATGTGGGAGTTTATAGTCATTTTTCAATTGCTATGAAAAAAAATCTAAATACTGTATCAGCAATTTAAAACGTATTTACAGTTCACATTGTAAATAAGCTCACTGTTTAACCCTTATTCATCAACTCCATGACTGTTTGAGTTGTGCAGAAGGTGGAAACGCCCACATCCCGGACGAGCCCCCAATTGTTACAACCTGGCAAAACACATCTGTCCTGGTTGCAATTAGATGTGGGTGTTTCCACCTTCTGCAAACCTCCAGCAGCCACAGAGTCAATGAATAAGGGTTAAACAGTGAGTTTACTTACAATATGAATAATTATTGATGACGAGTTGGAGTCTTGCCAATCTTCAGGGTGAGCCCAGGCCAAAATAGCAAACAAAACAACATATTTTTCCTACTATTTTATCTTACCTAAACCAAAACAAAAACAAAAAAAACCAAAACACAGTTTTCTTACCTTAACTAAATCTAACAAAAAACAGGAGAAAAAAAGTTTTAAATAAATTGGCAGCTCACCCCTACAAAAACACCTCACAACACTAAACTAATTGATTTGACAATAACGAAGCACAGCAAGTCATCCGTGACTGGTTGGGATGCGCAGAGTGGATGGAAACCCAACGTCATCACAGACACAGCTCCTTTTATGCAGCACATCTCCAGACAGGCAGCCAGTCACTGTTCCAGATCCTCAGTGTCTTCCTCCATTTTCATCCGCGCACCTGGACACTAATTTCACAATTAGCAATTGCACACACATACACAAAAACCTTACGATGGCAGTCGTAACACATAGCATTCCTTGAAGCAATGTATATTTCCTGCTGTCTTTCATGTTAGAGATTTAGCATCTTATGCTAAGAAATAACAGATTTTTTGTCAATCCTTAAAAATAACAATTTCATACTCAAGCAGTATTACGATAGAAACTTCACACTCAAAGTATGTGATAAGAATACTAAGCTACTACCAAAGTTAATGATTTGGTCAGTATTTGTAAAATTAGTAGAACTAAAGCCATATCTTAGATGTGGTGACCATTCTGAATTGGACCGAGTTAAAAAGTTAATCACTTGAATATATACATTCAATTATTATTTTCTGAGAGTTTCATTAAGGTTTGTCAACTGGTTTACAAGATATTTTATGAACAAACAAAATAGATTGACAAATACAGTTAAAAGTAATGTTCTAAACATTGACTTTATACAATGTGTAACCATTGGAATATTGTTGCCAATATATTTCAGCTACAACCACACCAAATTTTAGCACTACCTTTGAATTTTTTTTTTACAGAAATAGAACTATTTTTATGTTTTCTAAACTCAGATGACCATCTTGAATTACATGGATTCCAAAGATGTACAGTATATCTTCTAATTTTATTATATTGTGCCAGTGATTCATGAAATATTGTCCTGATTTAAAAACACATGCATGTACAGTAAAACATTAACACTCCATAATGCAGTACAGTCAAATAATCAATGATATCTGAATATTTTTCATCTCTGGTTTTATGTTTTCTGGCTTGTTTTCGGCTCGCTGCACCTCAAAAAGAAATCTTTGAATTTGGCATTCCCCCACCCCCACCCCACTCCCCCTGCAGCTTCGAGAAACTTTTCCATAGAAGGGGAATGTGTAGGTGTTGCAAGCTCCCTGAGCAATCAAACTTTTTTTTTTCTTGGCGCAGGGAAGTCACCAACCGAGAGAGCTGTTTGTTTTCAGCCTCCTCTCTCCGATCCATCCAGAGGAAGGCCAATGATGTTAATTACATGAACATTGCAAACATGTCACACTGCCAAGTGGGAAAACAAAACTTCTGAGGTTTATGAAATTAATTTTGCATCTGTTTTCCACTACATTTGACGTGTTTCCCCATCAGCCACTGCTTACATTTAGGCATTTTTCACTAAGGAGATACATTAGTTTTACAGTGAGTTATCTACAAATTGACCCTTCTAAATTAAACTGAGCACAAGGGCAGCTGGTGATCTTATTGGAGATTGCAGTAACCCCCCCACCCCCCACCCCCACCCCTCACACACACACACACACACACACACACACAGGGTAACAGATTTATACTGTAAAGCTGCTTTTTGTGCCAGTAGGTTATTGAGGAGTTGTAAAGGATTCAAGAATCATTACTTGCTGCTGGATGGGTGGGATGCCACACACACAGATGCACAATTGCATTCAGACTTGTACAAAAACACAAACCAAATGACTCTCAGAAAGGACGATAAACAGGCTGCAATTTTCAAATCATTAGTGGAAAAACGTCACTGTAAAAAGTAAACACTTTGCTACAAATCCTACAAATCCTCAAGTGATGGTACAAATCTATCCATTCTGAGCACATGACTATTTCTGTCTCTGTGCAACCAATGGAAAAACATTTTTTTTGTGTCATCTAACCACAGAATTTATCACCACAAGCTTTTGTATTGTTCAGGAGGACTTTTTTGAGTTTGAGAGACGAGTCCTTTGAGCTGAAGTTTTATGTTGGGCGTCCTTGTGCAGTTTTTGTTCTCTGAAGTCTCTTCTTTGAGATCTTGGTACCAGAACTGCTTTAGTTCATTGCCATAACCTTGGGACGAATTACATTAGGATTCTGGAAGAAAACTTACGTCTGCAGAACATCAAACTTTGAACAGAACTACTCAACTGAACAAAGAGTATGTTTACTCGCAAAGCAATATCTCTATAGTAAGAGTAAAACCTTATTTTGCATAACAAAATCTAGCTTGTTCTGATTAATACGCTATATGACAGTATTCATGCATCATGCTTTAAAGAATAAAAATACAGTGGATGCTTTAGACGAAAATAAATATCGTAGTGGCATAAAATGTAGGCATGATTCATTTATTGGGCTATGATCTTGAAATATAAGTGGGATTTTTTTGTATAGAAACTGTAAACACTACGGTGACAATGGTGGCCTATTTAGATGAGTACCATATAAAATGGAAGTTTTTTTTTGTCTATGAAACATTTTAAATACCACATGAGGTGTACTGTTCTTTAGAAAGAGAAGTAAAGACTAGAAGTACTGCAAGAAAGTAGTATGACCTAAAAAAACTAAAGTTTCTCCTTTTCACTTTGTTTCAGTCATCCTCCTTGATTTATTTTGTAGGCTTTGTTTTTCTTGGCCTCTTCAGCTCTTGTCCAACACCAGCCTTTGTTTGCTGATAGCCATTCACCTGTTGTTCATTTGTCTTAGGTTCTCAGAACATATCCTGACCACTTTTATTTGTTCCCTGTCGGCTCATTGTCTAAACGCTTGGTACTTGCTCTCAGTGCATGCCCCTGGGTTTTCTGTTACTCCATGATCATCACCCGTCGCCAAAAAACAAAAAGAGGACAATAATGTTTTTGTGTGTGTATGCATGTGTCCTTGTTTATTTGTAATGTTAGATGTCATGAACTGCTGGATGGATTTTGATTAAATTAATCAGAAATGAATGACTGGATGCACATCACTAACTAATGGACTCATATTAGTAAAACAAATCTCATGAACTACTGGATACATCCCAATGAATGTCAGAAGAAAGTCACTAGATGTACAGCTACAGCAAATTACCTTTCGGAGTCAACCTAATTCAAGATGGCTGCTGCTAAATGACCTTAGTCAACACAAAACTTATTATAATTTATTAATATTGAACTAACACTTGTGATGGTTTGTATTCAAAGATAACTCATTCTAACCATGTACAAAGTACTTTGAGCATTTATGAGTTACAGTATTCCTTGAGATTGTGCAGAATGTCATTTTCATGTTTTGACCAAAGTAGCTATAAAGCTGTCATTTTACAACATAAGTTGATTTCTGTGTAAAACTGACACAAAAAGTGACAGTCAATATGTACTCATTTGAGGAGTCCTAGGCCTTTAATTAACTTAAATTATTTTCTTTGTTTTTATTTTAGTTTTGTTTAGTCTGATGTGTAAGAAATAAACATTTCAGTAAGTTACATGCAATATGCTGCATGTGTAGTCTGTTTTAAATGATCAAAAACTATAGTTATAAAAGCTGTTTAATTTTTCAAATACTTATTTGATGATTTTACGAAACTCTCGTATGACTTACAGTTTGTATGGACAGAGAAAAACAAGTTTGGTTTAGTGTAACTTTTTTGTGGGCTTTGCAGGGTCTTGGGAAGTGCAGGAGGAAAAGGTTTTCTCCCTTTTCCTCCTGCACTTTTGTGTCTTTTCACTTCCTTCCTAGTGCACTGCCTGTGTTTGACAGTAAGATGAAGCATCACTCAAACTGCTGATTCACAGACAGGACGGGTGGGGTCAGGACACCACCTCATAATGTTAATATCTTTTTTGTGTTGCAGATTTACCCTGCGTCACTCCAGCTCGTGGTACATGCAGAAGGTGAAGAGCTGATCTTAATGCTGGAAAAAAATGAGTGAGTTTTCCTGTGATTCATGTTAATTGTCTCTTCATGTTTATTATGGCCTGTGGGACAGAGACAATTATACTTTAATGTTAATTATACATGGAGCAAGAAGATAAACCTATACTTCCCGTTATGGCTCATGTGAGCTATTTTATGCTTGAGACGGAGGCATTTTTATTGTCTGGACTATGATTTAGTATATTCAAGATGGAAGAAATAATATGTCCCATAGTGATTGGACTCTTTTTATGGTTTATTCTCTGTGAAGCACAGAGAGATGAAAGCTAGTAAAGAATAAGGTTGAAGAGAGCTCTGAGGACTTATTTGCCTTCCCTCTCCTCTCATTACTTGTCTCCTTTCTATGCAATAAAACATAACATGATCATCTCTGAAATGAGGGATAGGAATCATGTAGGGTTCATGGTTATGTTTGCCTATATACTCATGCAAAAACTGTGTCATATAGATGCAGTAAAAAGATGGCTGTAAAGACAAAAGAAAACTCAACTTTTATGTTTGGGGAAACTTTTTAGACCTGTTTTTTATGTCCAGTTTGTCAGTGCTTGTTTTTTTTTTTCCAGATAATGTGAAAACAATTTATTTCTATTGCCCACCGTCAAAAGGCAAAGGTAGAGCGACAATGTTTTTGCCATTCTTGCATATAATTATATGCGTCTGACAGGTAGCAAAATATGCCATGAACCACTGGGCAAATTTAATAAAATTTGCAGAATGTAATCTTTATCTACAACTGCTTAACTTTTGGAATCAATTCATTTTAAGATGGCCAACTGACCTGAAAAACACAAAAATGGCTGTAACGCAATCAGTTTTATCAATACTGAGATAAAATTAGGTGTGGTAGTAACTGGGAGTCGTCTTTAACAATTTTTGTAGGAACAACACAGTTACAAATTTAATATTGGACCAAAACTAGAGATGCACGATATTATTGGCATGGTATCGGTATCGGACGATATTAGCGTTAAAGTTCAATACCAGACATTGGCCGTTTCATCAAAATAACTCACCAATATAGAAGGTGCTATTTTTGTATGACAACCCAGTGACAAGGATGCCTGCTGCACCAGCACAATGTGATGATGTCATGCGCGCCTACCTGATCTCACGGCGGAGAGGAAAATTCCAAATGTCGGCGGAGTGGAAGTTTTTTTTCATTGGTGAGGATGTTGGATTCTGAAGATTTTTAGACTACTCGCTACATCGTCCCCAGTCAGAGATATTTTTCCGACGTAACCTTGCCCAAGTTACAAGCCATCATTTCCGACGTCATTGAGAAGCTAATAGCCGATAGCACTTGGGTGAGTTTTACTACAGACATTTGGACGTCGTTACTGTTACTGAATATATGTCACCAGCTCTTACAGCTGTTACACAATTTTTGTAGCAAATAAGCCTAAATGAGAGAGCTATGTTCTGACAAAGGAAAGTATATAAAATATCGGTATTAGTTATTGGCCAAATACAATAAGTTTTAACATATCGGCATATCAGCATATCGGATATCGGCCAAAAATCCAATGTTGTGCATCCCTAACCAAAACAGCAATCAATACGTCAGATTTTTAATCACAAGATGATTTTCATTTAAAAATTGGGCATGAAAGTTTGTGAGTTATATGCATTTCTTTGAGGAAAACCAGGCCTTTTATTTCCTACTGCTTTGGCATGTGAGTATTTGGACTGCAACTGGTTAGATTCCCTAAGTACTTGGTTGGGGGTATACAAGTTTAACAACTAACAAATCTGCTTTGGTGAACCTTAAAGCTTAGGATAATATTTGAACTATTTGCACATGCATGTATTTATTAAAAACACTTACCCTATCCTCAAACTGATGTTCAACGTTTTATGTTATGAGTGCTTAGTGTATATTTAGTTGGTGTTTTTCTTAGTTCATATCTTAGATGTTATTACTGTTTTTCTTAGACATTTTATTGTTGGATGTAACTGGGACCCCGTGTACATAATTTCGCTCCACCACATGTACCACATGAGGTGCGAATGACAATAAAGAAACTCTGACTCTGACTCTGACTCTGAAATACATAGCTGACTACACTCTGCCCATTTTCCCATTTTAAAGTACAGCCAAAGATACCTAATAAATCCTCATTATAAAAAAAACTCTTTCAAGACTTACCCTTTCAGCCTTTATTCTTCTTGTGACCCAATGTGACTCCAGCATCAGCTGTGAGTCATTGGTGACCAGCCATCACCGGAGCTTTTTGCCATTTCCATCCGGCCTCTTTGCTGTCAGAACAGATGTGTCCTCTGATACCGCGCCACCAGTTCAGCCAGCAGAGAACAGGTGGTCTCTGACCTCTACGTGTTTGTTGTGGTGTGGGTGCATCCGTTTTAGTCTGGGGCAAGAGGAAATGAGGGATGGGGTTAGATGAGGCCGCCTGACATGAAAAGTTAAGAATGGATTCAGGCTTTTGAAGTTTGCTGCTGTAAATTTTGCTGCAACAAAAAGAAAAAGAGATTTGATTTCCACCTTCAGAGAGATGGTGAATGCCACATTTTTGAAGTTAGAGTTTGGAGTAGATAAAGAAAGAGGAGTGGATAATTTTACTATGATCTAGGAGTATGACAATATATATTTTTTCCAGCTACAGATCTGAATCACTCATTGAATGACATGTTTTCAAACACTGACGCTTTTAAAGTGACAATTCTGCCACATTGGAGGTTTTGAGTTGTTTGTAACAAATTGAACTTGGTGAAGGTGATTCTTTTAAACTGTTTCCTTTAAGTAAAAGGACATTTTTTCCACACAAAACATTTGGTGCTGTCACACAATAAAATAATCCAATGCAACAACCAATGTTGTCTCCAATATATTTTTTTCCTTCTCACCTCACCATTACAGCACAACCTCCAACCCTGTTACAGTGCCCTTCAAAGTAAAAGACGTACCACTTATATAAACTTCTTTTTCGGCTTTACTCTCAGCAGGGGTCACCACAGCGAGTCATCCTCCTGCATCTCACTCTGTCTTCTGCATCCTCTGTCCTCACTCCAACTACCTCCATCTCCTCTCTAACTGCATTCATATATCTCCTCTTTGGCCTTCCTCTTTGTCTTTTTTCCTGGCAGCTGCATTTCTAACATCCTTCTACCAATATACCCACTGTCCCTCCTCTGGACATGTCCAAACCATCTCAGTCTGGCCTCTCTAACTTTATCTCCCAGATGTTCAACCTGTGCTGTACCTCTGATGATCTCATTCCTAATCTTATCCTGCCTTGCCACTCCTAAAAAGAACATCAACGTCTTCATTTCTGCCACTTCCAGTTCTTTCTCCAGTCTTTTTGTCAATGCCACTGTCTCCAGACCATACAACCTTGCGTGTCTCACCACTGTCTTGTAAAGTTTTCCTCTGGCCTGTGCTGCCACCCTTTTGTCACAAATCACTCCTTAAATCTTTCTCCATCCACTCTATCCTGCCTGGACTCTCTTTTCACCTCTTTGCCACATTCCCCATTTTCCTGGACAGTGGACCCCAAGTACTTGAAGTCCTGCATCTTTGTGACCTCTGCTCCTTGTAGCCTCTCTGTTCTGCCTGTTTCCAACTCATTCACCCACATGTACTCTGTCTTACTATGGCTGACTTTCATTCCTCTTCTTTAAAGTGCATACCTCCAACTCTCTAAGGTCTCTTCCACATGTTCCCTGCTATCACCACAGATCACAATGTCATCTGCAAACATCATAGTCCACGAGGATTCCTCTCAGTGAGCAGGTTACCCTGGTTCAAATCCCGGTCTGGGGGCCTTTCTGGGTGGAGTTTGTATGTTCTCTCCATGCATGTGTGGGTTTTCTCCATGTACTCCAGTTTCCTCCCACAGACCAAAAACATGCATGTTATGCTAATTGGTAACTCTAAATTGTTCCTAGGTGTGAGTGAGAGAGTGAGTAAATGGTTGTTTGTCTCATTTGTCTCTATGTGGCCTTATGATGGACTTTCAACCTGTCCAGGGTGTACCCCACCTCTCGCACAGTGATGGTTGGACATGGGCACCAGTGATCCCCGCGACCCAAAAAGGAAGAAGCGGGTAAAAGATGATGGATGGATGGATGGATGGACAAATCCGAGATCTTGTTTTTTTGGTCACTACCCAAAGTTTGTAACTATTGGTGAGGTTAGGAACCTAGACCGATCATTAAATAGAGAGCTTCTTCTTGCTGCTTAGCCCCTTCTTCACCACAATAGACTGGCACTGAGTCCACAATACTGATCCGTGTTTTGATCTAACTTTCCATTCTTCTCTCACTCATAAGCCCCAAGATATTTGAACTCCCAACCTAAAGAAGGTAATCCACCCTTTTCCACCTGAGGTACAAATTTATCTATTGGTAATTTGACTGAGTTACGGACATTCTTGTGTGTGTGTGTTTTTTTCAGGTCAGTTGATTGTGATGGTCATCTTGAATTGGGCTGATGCCAATTGTAGATGTACATCCAGTGATCATTTTCTAAAGGTTTCATGCATTTTGTCTGGCATGACACACTCACAGACACTTGTGAAAACATTGCCATTGGGCTTCACCATTTGGCAGCGGGGAATAATTTTGTGTTATTGATTGATCTGAATACAGAGAGGTACCTCTTTTATCTTAGTTCAATGTGTTAAGCTCATGCGTTGCACTTCTTTGGCACTGCTGTAGAGCACACCTGTTCCAGGACCAGTGTGAAATGATAGGCCAACACTAATATAAAACACACTACTGGAGCCAATTAATAAACTGCTGCTTCTGAGCCCCTTGGCAACATCACAGGAAAACCTGGCACCAGTGGAACATACACAGATAATCAGTCCACTATGTGTGTGTGTTTCATTGGAAACATACAGTACTTTCAATTTACTGTGGTAAATTTGAGTTTATTGCACATCTGAGCTTTATGTGGTTGATTTCCCTCAGCGGTAAATACCATCTTTTTGGGCCACAACCAGCTTAGTGTGTCTGAGTAAAAGAAAAAAAAA